AGAGACTGTGGTTTAAAATAATACTCATTTAAATCATTTATTATTACCGATCTTAGTTTAGCTGATCTAAACTGTATTGACTGAGTGTCTTGGCTGTTCTCCACGTTTTGCTCATTGTCCTCAAGGGATCATCCAGTCAATCCAGGCATGTTCTTCTATTGATGATGGCAAAGGCACAAGAACACAAGCGAAAATGCACAGGGTCTCTTGAGATGGAGGTTTGGACATGGTTCACCAGAAAATCTACCTCATTTCTTTAATTGTAGAAAAACATGCATAAGAATTTACTATTTCAACAATTGTTGAGTATAGAGTTCAGTAGGACTAATTATAGTCAAGTTGTTATGCAGCCATCACACTATCTCCAGAACATTTTTCACCTCCTCTAATTAAAACTGTAACCCATTAAATAATTTCCTCTGTGTCTCGTCTAAACACTAGTCATCGCTATTCTATTTTCTGCTTCTAAGAATTTGACTTCTCTATGTACCTCATATAAATAGAATGTTGCAGTATGTATCCTTCTCTGTATAGCTTATTTCACTTAACCAATTTTTTAGTTTTGTCCGTATTATAGCATATATAAAAATTCTTTCCTTTTTAGGTCTTTATAATATATTTTATATATAAATGTATATCTACACACCATACTTTATTTGTTGATGGATATTTGGGTTGTTTCACCTTTGGATATCATGGATATTCTGAAACATTACTCTACAAGTGCTTTAGCTATTTTGAGTACATATCCAGGCATACAACTGTTAAATCATTTGGCATATTTTAATTTTTGAGTAACTATTGTTTTCTGTAATATCTAGAAACCATTTCACATTCTCATCAGCAGTGAACAATGGTTCTAGTATCTCCATATCTACACCAATACTTTGTTTTTTCTAGGGGGTTGATATTATAAATAATATAACTAAAGTATTTTCTTTGTGGATTTCATGATGTTCAACATCTTTTTATATACTGATTGGCCATTTTGTACAAATTAGGAGAAATACTTATTCAAAGATTTTTCTCTCATTTTTTTAAATTATGCCACACCCACTAGTATAGGTGGTAGTATGGCAGGGTTACTCCAGCAGTGCTTGGCTGAGAGGTACTAGAGTTTTATTTTAGCCTAGTCATGCAGTAATTCCACCAGAGCCATACTGGTTGTGCTCAAGAACCATCAGGACTACAGTGATTCTGGTTGTGGGATGTGGTTGGGCAGAAAGGGTCATATGATCCTGGGACTAGAATCCAAGACTACTCTAAGGCACGTGCTCTACAACTTGAGCTGTCTCCCCCAACATTTACACATTTTAAAATTTTGGTTGTGATTGGGTTTTTGAGTTACAAGAGTTCTTTGTTCTTTGTTTATTCTATAGATTATCCCTTATTCTCCCATTCTGTGGTTTGCCCTTTCAACTGTGTTGATAATGTTCTTTGCACAAATGCTTTCATTTTTGATGATGTTCTGTCCTCCTGTTGTTCATCAATTTATTTGAGTAGGCCCCAGTTACGTCTCCATCATGAGACTTGTTGTTACTGTGTTCGGCATATCAAATACCTCATGGTTAGCTTTCTAGGCTTTACCATGTGGGCAAGATACTTTCAGTAGCTTGCTGGGCTCTCCAAGAGGGGCAGAGGAATCGAACCCAGGTCAGCCGGGCTGGCCGCGTGCAAGGCAAATGCCCATTTCAATTAATCTCTTTTGTTATCTGTTTTTAGTGCCATATCCAAGAAATCATTGCCAACCCCAATGTCATGAAGCTTTCCCATGTATTTAGTTCCAAGAGTTTTGTACTTTTAGAGAAGGTCCCTCTACAATGGTACTCAAGAGGTCTGAGGGCTACTCCCACCATATATTTGGACTGGCTATACTCAGACCCAGCAATTCAGTAGGCTAAGAATGAACAGGACTATGTTTCTGTGGCTGTGGGTGATGCAGTACCAAGAATCAAAGTTGGAGCCTCATGTATTCCAGTCATGCCCTCCAGCCTTATTACCTACTCCTAGGACCGTAAGAATTTATAATTTTAACTCTTAGTTCTAGGTCTTTGATTTATTTTGAGTTAATGTTTATTTGATCTACTTTGAGTTAATGTTTATACTGGTATAAGATAAAGATCCAACTTTTTTTTTTTTTTGCTTGTGGGTATCTAGTTTTTCCAACACCATTTGTTAAAAAGACAACCTTTCCCCTTTGTCTGCCATAGAGGCAGGGGAAGAAGTAGGATGGGGGTGGGGGGAGCTGGGGAGAAGGGGAGGGGGGGAGGGATACTGGGGACATTGATGGTAAAAACTATACACTAGTGGAGGAATGGGTGTTTGATCATTGTATGACTGAAACTCAAACACAAAAGTTTTCTAACTGTAGCTCATGGTGATTCAATAAAAAAAAAAAATTTTAAAGACAACTTTCCCCATAGAAAGGTCTTGACACCCTTGTTGAAATTAATTTGAGCAAACATGCAAGAGTTTATTTATGGTGTTTTCACTAAATATATATAAATATATATGCGTGTATATTTATGCTTATACTATGATGTTTTGTTTACCATGGCTATATAAGAAGTAATGAAATCAGGAACGATGAGACCTTCAGTTTGGCTCTTCTTTTTTTTCATATTGTTCCTGCTATTTAAGACTCTGAAATATAAAAATTTTAAGTTTTCTATTTCTACAAAAACAATAGAAATTTTATAGAGATTGCATCAACTCAGTAATTCATTTTGTTGAGTATATAAATCTCCTAGCCTGTGAATAGTAGTTTTCTTTATCATTCATTTACATTACAATTTTTTGTTTATTTTGGAAGCACACCCAGTGCTTTTCCTGTTCTTTGCACAGGGATTACTCCTGGTGGAACTCAGGAAACCGTATGAGTTTCTGGGGGTTGAACCCCTATCTGCTGTGTGCAAAAGCAGACACCATACCCACTGTACTATCCCCTGGTCCTTATATTACAATTTTAGAAATGCTTTATAGGGGGCCAAAGCAATAGTACAGTGGGTAAGGTTTTGCCTTGCACATGGATGGCCTAGCATCCTATATGGTCACTGAAACCACCAGGAGTGATTCCTGACTGCAGAGCCAAGTAAGGCTTGAACACCACTGGGTGTGGACAAAAAAAAAAAAAAAGAAAAAACTTTTATGAATTTTTTCAGTGTAAGTCTTTTGCCTCCCTTAACTTTATTCTTGTTTTAAATTTTGGTACTATTATTAAAGGAATTTTCTTAGTTTCCTTCTTCAATTGGTCATTGTTAGTCTAACATCTTGACATTTTTTTCAAAGTTGTCACATGGCCAAATAGAAAGTTAAGAGTTAGGAAACACATCCCATCCATCCTGGGAGTGCCACTGTGAAGTTCCATGACAAAATTGACAGTACTATGAAAAGTGAAGAATGGGGTCCTGTAATACTGTAACTCATAATCAATTTTTATGGGCAATTTTAGTACTGTTTTTCCAGAACCCCTTTTCAAAGTAGCCAAAGCAAGAATACAGTAGATAGTTCTTGTTTTGCATATAGTTGACCTGGGTTCTATCCCTCGATATCCCATATGGTCGGTCCCCCATGCACCACCAGGCATAATTCCTAAATGGAGCACTGGGAGTAACCCCTGAACATCACTGGGTATGGCCCCAAAACAGAAAAACAAAAAAACAAAGCAAAAAGTGAAAACTAGCCTGCTCCCACCCCTTTGCCCTCAGCAACTATAGTGAAAAAAAGTTTTTCATGGTGAGTGGTAAAAAGGACTAAGGCAACAAAGAGACAGGGCATATAGACTAACTTATGCTCTGCTGAACATGTTAGAGGCATGGACGGAAGAACAAAAGGAGTTGTACAGAAACCTGCCTTTGCTCTTGGGAAGACCTGAGCATTTCTGAGCCTCAGTTTCCTCCTCCAGATGATAAGGGACTTTCCTGTGTTTTCTCTGCAATCCTATACAAATACTAACAATTCTGTCTCCTGGCTGTATAATAAACCAACATGTGAAAATCTGTTCTGAACACTCACATCCATGCAGGTGGCCCTCGTCGTCTCACCATTCATCATTTCCTGCCTTACATTTCAGTTTTATTAGTTATTTTTAAATTCTACATCACCTGACATCTCCTTGCCAGTAGAAAGTTAGTAATAACTACCTTGACTGTTATTATGACAGTAGGAACCAGATTGATAACTAAATTGAGTAAAGTTTCAATATCTTTGGTTTTGAACAATTTGTCCTGTATTTTAAACTTTTAAATAAATCTTCTATGGATTTTAATTTGTTAGGATTATGCCTATATACCTAGTATTTACTTTAAAGAAAAGGACTTTTCACTCATAATTGTAATACTAGTTTTACTAATTCTATGCTACAAAGACTTGGACATAATATCTCCTTTTAACATTTTGTAATTTTAATAAATCAAAATGTGTTCAATGACTATGTAGATAAATGTAGTAGTATATATGTCAACTGCAAAGTTGTCAGAAGGCCAATGTTCTTAATTATAAAAATGAGATCAGTGTTTAAAATTGTTTTTCTACTCTGTTGAAAGGTTTTGGCTCGAAATTCACATAAAGAATAAAATGAAGGCAGATATTAATTTTACCAATTAAAATTTGACTCTTGACTGTGATTACATATTTTATATTTTTACCAATTCATTCAATTTGAAGTATAAAATCAGTAGGAACTAATGAACTTGAAAAAAAACTAAATATTGCTTCATTTTCTTTAAGTTAGTATAAGGGCACAAAAAGATACCAAACTTTGTTTCTTCAAGAATTTTTACACAAATAGTAGACTCCCTCCCATAACCCTCCCAAATAATTCCAGAAAATGGAAACATATTTTTTTTTTTTTTTTGGTAATGGCAAGCATCAAAAATCATGGGTAAGGAAGGTTAGACTATATGTGAGGCCTCTAGTGGCTTGGAGACATAAACAATCCAGTCAGAATGTGTCCTTCTTGGTGTTACCAATGTCTTATCTCTCTTCTCTCCTCCTTCTAGGCTGCCCTATCAAAGGTCACCCTACCCCCAACATCACCTGGTTCTATAGTGGTCAGCCAGTTGGCAATGTGACAGGACTCAGGCATCATATCTTGGCAGCTGGACAGATTCTCCAGATTGCAAATCTCAGTAGCGTGTCTCAAGGGGAATTCAGCTGCCTTGCTCAGAATGAGGCAGGAACTCTGGTACAGAAAACCTCGTTAATGATCCAAGGTAAGAACTCCTTCGGCTTTGGGTACTGGGCTTATTTCTTGAACAAGAAAGTTCATGCTTGGGAATCTATTTAGGAGAGCAATGAGACTTCTGATGCTCAGTAGTTCTTCTAGCAAAAAAACTGGAAATGACTCACATGTACATACAATAAGACTCTCTTTCCAAGACTCACCAGCTTCCCTTTCCAGCAGTGCTTCAAAGGGTTAGTCCTACCTTCACAGATGGTCCTTCTGCTCCTAGTCCTCTTGGTCCCTCAAGCCCACTAGTAGTGATTCCTGAGCAGCACTGGGTGTGGCCCAAAACAAAAATAAACTTTTTTTTTTAAAAAAATGATCTAAACTATTGACTCCTGCTGTCCTGGAGATATTGCCCTTCAGAGACCCCACCAGCAGTCACGTGTTATGTGCTTGTCAATGATGCAGATAAGGCAGGAGTGACTGCAGTGGGTCCCTGGAGATTCCTGGTTCTTGAATATTTTCAAGGATGAAAATATTAAATAAGAAAGATGCTCAGACTCAGACCTGGAAAGTAGAGGAGAAAAGAAAAGTTAACTATGACTCTTTTTGTGGGATTTTTATAGGAAACCTGGGTCTTTGTGTTACAGAGAATTCAGGGAAGTTAAAGATAAAGGTTTTCCTGTAGACCCTTTTAAATGAAAATTGGGCTCTTGGCAAGTATTACAGAAGATGCAAGGATCTAGCAGATCCTTGGCTGTCCATTTGCCTTAGGTATTTCCCATTATTTTAGCCTCCCTGTAAACTTAAGCTCTGGGGAAGAATTTTATGATGGACAATTGTTAACTTACTGTTTATCAGGAAAAAAATCAGAAAAATCCCAGGAATTTGCAGAAAGTATTAAAAAAATAATAATAATAAAAAGGACTGCTCACAACAGCTGGCAAGGGTAAAACGGAGGCCTCCTCTTTTTTTTCTCTTTTTGGGTCACACCTGTAGACAGGGGTTACTCCAGGCTCTACACTCAGAAATTACTCCTGGCAGTGCTTCTGGACTATATGGGATGCTGGGACTCGAACCCACATCTGTCACATGCAAAGCAAACACTTTACCTATTGTGCTATCATTCCAGCCCCTAAAGGGCTCCTCTTTCACCTGCAGCACCTCTGCTGTGTGGCTCTGCTCTGGCTTCCAAGAAACAAGGACAGGCCCAAAAAACTTGTAGATGGGACCTGACTTTAGCTGCACTGAGGAAGAGTTGTGAAAGGGTTCAAAAATAGTGGGAAAAGAGCCAAAGAGACCTTGTAAATATAAGTTAAGTGAGACTTTTGAGCTTTCCATAGGCATGATCTACCTTTCCCATATGATTTTCTTTTTTTTTTTTCCCCTTTTCGATTTGAGGGTCACAACCAGCTGTGCTTAGGGCTTACTCCTGAGGATGATACAGATTGGTGGGAATAGAACCCAGTGCAGCCTCGAGCGTGGCTAGAGCCCTACCTGCTATACTGCTGTACTATTGCTCCAGCCCCTGTGTGTGATACTTATGTAAAGTAAAATTCTACTTCAGTATGTGAAACTGAAAAATTGTCAGGAAAGGGACAAATTTGTACACGTAAGCACAAGAACAGGGAGATTAGAACACATGGGCTTGCCCTACAGACATCCTGCCATTTGGATTCCCAGATGGGAAAGCAAATATGCTATTTTCTTGCCAGTCAGCCTTTCTCTGCTGAAAGGTGCAGAAGCCAACACCTGACTGTGGGATTGATAATACACAACCTTCCAAATAAGCTCTCAAATTAAAAAAAAAATCCAGTCAAAATAACTGGGTTTCATATCATTAAGTCCCAGACCTCCACATAGAAAATCCTTTAAAAATGCCTTTCTTATGACAGCATCAACTCTTCAGAGGCACTTAAAAACATTTAAAAAAAAAATTAGCCTCACAGTTGATCTGTACTTTTAAGTTCGATTGGGAAATGTCTCATATTTTTATATCTGTTGAAGAATAAAGTTATTTTCTTGTGAGCCAGTAAAAAGGAGAAAGTAGTTATGATAGTATATTTAAAAGTAAGAAGTAGGGGCTGGAGAGATAGCACAGCGGGTAGGGCGTTTGCCTTGCATGCGGCCAACCCAGGTTCGATTCCTAACATCCCATATGGTCCCCTGAGCACCACCAGGAGTAACTCCTGAGTGCAGAGCCAGGAGTAACCCCTGTGCATTGCCAGGTGTGACCCAAAAAGCAAAAAAAAAAAAAATACAAATAAAAAATAAAAGTAAGAAGTATGAGCACTCAGGGCTGGAGTGATAGTACAGTAGGTATGGCACTTGCCTTGCATGCGGCCAACCCGGGTTCAATTCCCAGCATCCCATATGATGCCCCGAGCACCACCAGGAGTAATTCCTGAGTGCAGAGCCAGGAGTAACCCCTGTGCACTGCCTGTTGTGACCCAAAAAGAAAAATAAAAAAGTAGGAACACTGATTCATAGAGTCCCATAGTCTCCATGAACTGGACTGTTAAATCATATCTAGTCTTCATAGAAGGTAAGGGGCACTTGACTCACTTTATAGATTAGTCATCTCAGACACCTAAAAACCTCATGATCTGCCTAGCTACACTGGGAATAACACCCACTGAAGGTAGAGCATCTCATTCTTAATAACAGTTCTCACCTGACTCCCCACCCCCCTTCTCAGACCCCGTCCCCACTGCTCAAAAGGAAAGCAGATCTCGGGAAGTCAGGCATTCATCTCTTCAGCACAGATCCTCTTGCTCTGACAGATTACTGGTGGTCTGTGGACAGACTGGCGACCTGCTCAGCCTCCTGCGGGAACCGGGGTATTCAACAGCCCCGCCTGAGGTGTCTGCTGAATAGCACAGAGGTGAACCCCACACACTGTGCGGGGAAGGTACGCCCCACTGTGCAACCAGTAGCCTGCAACCGGAGAGACTGCCCTGCTCGGTAAGTATAGCGGATGCCACCTGAAGCCTTCCTACAACTGGACCTGAACATTTTTGGGAGAGTGGGGTGGGGCACACCTAGTGTTGCTCAGGGATCATTCCTGGAGTGCTGAAGATTAAAGCTGGGTCAGCCACATGCAAGGCAAGTACCCTGCCCACTCTACTATTTCTCCAGCCACAGGGCCCAAACTTAGAGCATGCCCTTGTCAAGTACTGGGCAGGAGAGACTCTGAGTGCCAGCAACAGTGCCTGCCATCCAAGGGTGCCCCTCCATCATGCAGAACAAACCTCCTTCCTCTGCTCTGCTGGTGTCTGCACTGCTCCAGAGCCCCAGGGATCCAGCTTCCTAGGAGCTGGAGATGTGCGTGTAGAAATGGAGCATCCAGGCCCTGCAATAGATAGAAGCTGACTCTCTAGAGCATTTTGCAAGGAAAAATTCTGCTGCCACAGAAGTAGACAGAGGTATAAGGGTTACTGCTCTCCACCCCAATTGCTCCTTCTTCTAACTCTAATTGCCTGTGCTCACCGGTTTAGTGGAAGAAGTCTCATCCTCTTTCTTTCCTATGAAGGGTTTTATCCTGCTAACCTTGAAATGTATCTTCAGCCCCTATAGTTGCCTCAACACTGGAGATATGCTCTCGACATCTGAATTGCTTCCATAGCCCAGGCTGACACCCACAACTTCTGTACCTCTTACATTGGCTCCAGGTTTTGAAATGCTGTGAGTTCCAGCACCCTCACCTCAGTCTTTAAGCAGTAGCTAGAGGGATAATGTATGGGCTGAGACTTGGCACCAGCATGGTGCCCCAGCCTGGAAGGACTTGGCTGAGCCCTTGAAATGCCCCTTTACTACGAATCTGTGGGACTTTCATAGACTCCTCAGGCAACCGCTTTGTGTTTTGCCAGCTGAGTCATACGGAGCAGCTGAAACCAGGAGAGACTCAATGAAATATGAAACACACTCATTAATATCAGCAGTTTAACTTGCTGACGGGAAGGTTTCCACGGGAATGATTAATGTCCTTTTATACCCTTCCTGAACTGTAACATAGCCCGGACCTCTCCTTTCTCAAACCCCCCACTCCAGCTCCTGAAAAATTGCTGAAATGTATACTTGGAAATAAAAGTTGATTGAAATGCAGGTCTGACATTCACCAGGGACACGGGAGGCTGGAAGACTGCCCTTGCCAAGCTGTATGAAATGAAGAAGAAGTCTTGGACATGCCAAGGACTTTTTGATTTGCTGTAGTGATGGTCAGAGTCAATCAGCCTCATTTACTTCTGCAAATGAAATAATGGCTGTGTCTCCTAGGGTTCCAGTACCCCCAGGAGCTTTAAAACACCTCGTGCCTGCTTCCTAAGTGGCTCTGTGCCTGTGGGTTGGAAATTGGCAAGCAGCTGTCTCTCTCCAGGGCAAATGGAGCAGGGCAGTTCCACCAAATAAGTGACAGATTCAACTTCAGGAGGGATTTGGTGCATGACCCTGCTACCTGACTGTCCCAAGTGCCATATGATGTCACTGGACTAGGAAATGGCCACATGTTCACCTTTTCTGGTTTTCCTGCCAGACTTGGGGGTCCTTTTGTATCCTTCTTAGCACAGAAACATGTGCTGCCCTACTTTGACCCAGGTAGCTGCTTCAACCAATTCATTTAGATAAAGTTTTCTCAAGGAATAAAACTTAAGAATGTTTCTTTTCAGACTGAAGGATATGACTGATTTGAATGCAGTAGCAGGTTTTCTCTCAGAATCCCCCCCCAAAAAAACTGACACCCCTTCCCCTCCTATTTTCATATCATGCCAGGGTGCAAACCTGCAAAGAGAAGCGGTACTTGTTTACATGTGGATAAAAGATTTCAGAGTTTCTCCCAGCTTAGGGCTTGGCTTTGTGAGAAAAGTCACTTTCTCAATCTTGGTTGCTCTCATCTCTGAGATTTTGAGTTGTGGAAAGTTACTTTCTCAACCTTGGTTGGTCTCATTTCTGAGGATTCGAGTTGTGACTGAAATCTAATATTCTGAAAACTAGCTACTTCTACCACACATAACACCCTCTACTAGATATAGATAGGACCTATGGAGTGTGACTCCTGGAAATGGGTGTATGATCTGGAAAGATGGAAGAATTTTGCCTGTTTCAGAGGGCTTAAACGAAATTGAGATACAAGTTAAAGCACAGATGAAACAGAGTGATCAATACCAGATAAATTTTGGTTTATGAGACCCAGCTTGCCTCCAGGTTCAGGAAGCCACACAGGATGGAGTCTGATTTCCCTGGGAAGCTGCTCCTCTCTGCCTAACCCTTGGGTGCCTTTAGAAAGTACCAAATCCACAGGAAAGCTTAGCTCACTTCAGGACTGACTCCCCAGAATTTCAGCCTTGTAGGTTAATGTCATGCTGAAGCAAAGGATCTTCACATTAGTCTTTCAGCACCCGCTTTCCGAGTTCATTCCCCCAGAGATCCTCTTGTTGAAGGTTGTGACAACCACAAATATGGTGGCTTAAAAGAGTAGAAATGAACTCACAGTTTTGATCAAAAGTTCAATGTCAACGTTTAGTTTTCAGAGCTCCAGCTCCTCCAAGAAACTGTTCCTCATCCCTCACAGCTTTCAGGACCTATAGGCTTCACTTGGTCATGTCAGTTCTCCATCCACTTCTGTGGTCATGCCTTCCTTCTGTGTGAATCTCCCTCTGCCCTTCTCTGTTGGACCTCTGTGGTGCCATTAAAATGGTGCAATTTAAGGCCTACCCAGGGAATAGAATCTCATCTCAAAATCCTTTATTATAGTTGTAAACACCCTCTTCCAAGTTAGGTCATATTCAAAGGACCCATAACTTGAACACAAATCTTTAGGGAGGCTACTATCAGCCAACCATTATAAGCAGATCTAGAGAAGATGGTGGGGCAGTACAGGCAGGGAGGTGGAGGGGAGGGGAAAGGGCTTCTTCTGGGAGTATGCAGCATGATGCCTGTCCTCAAGGCCTGACACTTTGCAGCTGCCCTAATGTTTCTTCCTCTCCCTAGATGGATGGTGACCTCATGGTCTGCCTGTACCCGGAGCTGTGGTGGAGGGGTCCAGACCCGCCGAGTGACGTGCCAGAAGCTGAAAGCCTCTGGGATCTCAGTTCCTGTGCCCAATGACATGTGCACCCAGCTCGCCAAGCGGCCAGTGGACACGCAGGCCTGTAACCAACAGCTCTGTGTGGAGTGGGCCTTCTCCAGCTGGGGCCAGGTAAGAGGGTGGAAAGGGTTTTATTGGAAAAGGACATCTAATAGCACAGACTCCGTAAGAGTTAGAAAGAAAATGCCACCACAAGCCTCCCTGAGGACTGATGCTTCAAAATTTACATCGTATCTACTGACCTTATCTTCCCAAAAACCAATTTCAGATCATTATTCTCTGATATATACCTCTTACATCATTGCACTTTTCCTTTTGATTCCTTCCCATCCTGATGCTTCCTGTATTTTGATCATCATCAGACTTTGACACACCTTTTTTTTCCCAGGCTCTTTTCGAAGGTGGGTAGGAGGGGTAATGTCATCACATCTCACTAGTTACTTGGGAGCTTATGATTCAAAATTCTGATGAGGGACTAGAGCTATGGTATAGCAGGTAGGGTGTTTGCCTTGCACACAGTCAATCTGAGTTCAATCCCTGGCACCTGCCATGGTCCCTCAAGCCAGGGGTGATTTCTGAGAACAGAGCTAGGAGTAAGCCCTGAGCACAGCAGAGTGTAGCCAAAAATAATAAAAATAAAATCCTGATGAGATCTGAAAACTGCAGTATCTTTGTGGACAATGGGTTATCAACAGGTAGCACAGTATGAATCACAGAAGCTTCTTCAGGTAGACCAATATTTAGGCTGCACCTATGTCAGATACTCTAAGTGGGATCAAAATTTTGGAAACTCCAGGTGATTCTGACATGTAATAAGAACAAAGAACTTTTCTCCTCTTTTTGTGTTACTCAGTGAATTAATTTGTGGTCATTTTCAAAATTAATTGAGTGATTTTACAGGATTTCTGTTGTTTCTTTCATCTTTTAGTTTTTCCCCTTGTAGTTGGGTTCCTGTTATACAGTGATCAGATTCCATTTATTTTTCTTGATTGTTTCCCATAAATATTTTTGTCTTGAGTTCATTCCAAGAGACTGCATTTGTCTCTCCTCTTTTTTCCATTTTTTTCCTCTTTGTATTTTATTTTTCTTAGTGCTTCGAAGTGGAGGTTGACTTTTAAAAAAACAAAAACACTTGTACTGATATTATTGTTCTATACTTACAATACTGTGACACCATGTCATTTGGATAGTCATAATATCAGTTGTAAACTATTGCTATCTAAATAAAATGCATTTTTAAAATAATATATCTTAGAAATAGCATTGTATCTAGCAAATATATAACATTTATGGTTGATACTTAGAGTTCTTTCCTAGGAATCATTATTTTGAGATTTAAATTTAAGTTAACAAAGTTTTGATTTTCTCTATGGATTCAACTGAAATTTCCTAAAATAGTCATGATGATGTAAAAGGTAAAGGTAAAGGTAAAGGCCCTCCCGTTGATCGTCGATTTGCTCGAGCGGGCCCAGTAACGTCTCCATGGGAGACTTTGTTGTTACTGTGTTTGATGATATAAAAAATCAAAAAGTATTTTGTACAGAACTGATTTAATGATAATGAATTTTTTTAACTTTTATTTGTCTGAAAAACTTTGTTTTGTTCCTTTTTCTTTTTTTTCTTTCTTTTTTTTGGGGGGGGTGGCTTTTGGTTTTGGTTTTGGCATCACACTCTGAATAGCTCAGGGTTTCTGGTTCTGTAGCTGGAAATCGAGCCCTGGTCAACCACATGCAAGGCAAGTGCCCTACCCACTGTACTAGCTCTCTGGTCCCTGTTTGAAAATCTTTTTAATCATACTTTTGAATCTGAGTGGTAGCCTAGGTGAACGTTCTTAGGTTAAAGGTTTTATTCTTTTAATACGTGGATTATATCAAAACATATCTTGCCTATAGTATTTCAGTTGATAAATTGAGTCTTTGATTTTTCTCTACCTACTTCTGTATTTTTTATTTGACTTTGTATTTTAATTATGTTGTCTCTTAGTGTGCATCTATTTGGGTTTATTTTCATTAGAACTCAGAACTTTCTGGATCTTGGAATCTACTTCCTCAGACTGTTTTTCGGGGGAAGGTGGATTTTTTTGTAGCATTTTGTAACTACTGAGAAAACTGGCTCTAAGTGTTAATGTTTATGTCCTTGGTTACAAATTTATTATACTTCCACCACTATTATGTCATTTCTAGTCCTCCCCAACAATTGGTGAACTCACTTCTGTTGTCAGAGTCCAAGGGTTTGTTTTCATTGGCTATTGTACATTCCCCTGCTCCGTTTCTTTATATACCACATATGAATGAGATCATCTGGCATTTGTCCTTCTCCATCTGACTTACTCTACTTAATATGACACCTTCTAGTTGCTGCCAAGTTGTGGCATAAGGCAAGATTTTATCTTTTCATATAGGTAAATAGTATTCCCTGTGTTTATATACTACAGTTTCATTATCCACTCATCTTTGAACATTTGGGTTGTTCCACATATGGATATTGTAAATAGCACTGCAAATGAGCATGAAAACTTTAGTAGCATTTGTTCTAAGTCCTTAAAAAATGTCATCAGAATTTTGATGGAGATATTGAACCAATATAGTGGTTTGATTGGGTGGTCATTTTGACAATATTAACTTTTCCAATTCATAAACATGGAATAGTTATTCATTTGCTAGTGTTCTCTTATTTATTTCAGTAGTGGTATAGTCTGTAAGTTTTTCCACCTACTTTGCTTGGGTTGATTTCTGGGTATGAACACTAATGGATATGTATTTTTTTATGTCTTTCTATTCTAGTTGCTTGCTTATATAAATGTAACCAAATTTTTGGTATTCATTTTGTAGCCTGACAATTTATTATATTGTTTTATTGTTTCTAATTTTTGGCAGTGATTTTAGAGTCTTATATGTATATTATCATCTAATATACAAATAGTGATGATTTGATTTAATCTCTTCCAATGCATTTCATTTCTTTTTCTTTCCTAATTTCTGTGAACTTCAAGTACTCTCTGAATAATGGTGGTAAACAAGGACATCTGAAAACTTTCACTTTTCCGCCATGTACTAGATGTGGGTTTGTGATATATGGTCTTTACTATTATTGAGATAATATTTTTTCTATTCCTATTTTACTTAAATTTTCTAATCATGAATTGGTATTGATTCATTTGTAGAAGCTTTTTCTTTATATATTGAAAATACTAGACCACAATGTATGATCACATTGTTAGATTTGGTTTTCAAAGATTTTGTTGAGAATCTTTGTGTCAGTGTTCATCAGGGAAATAGATCTGAAACTTTCCTTTTAGTAATATTTGTCTGGTTTGGAGGCCACACCTGAAGATACTAAGGGCTTATTCCTGTCTCTGCTCTTATGGGACGATATGAATTGCTGGGAATCAAACCCAGGTTGGCCACATGCAAGGCAAGCTCCTGGCCAATGTCCTATCACTCTGATTCCTATTTTAATTTCCTTTTCATAAATGGTCTGTTCAAGTTTTTACTTTCTCCTGATTAGACTTGGGAAGTTGTTTGATGTATAAGTTTTTCACCTATTTTGTTGGGTAAAGTCATTCATAATAACCTCTTATGCCCATAAGTGTTTCTGAAGTAGCTGTTTGTGCTCCCCTTTCCTCTCTGGTACAATTCATTTGGATTTTCTTTTTTTCTCTAATTTTTATTAGTTCTACTTTTGCTGTAGTTGTTATTTTTTGTTTCTGATGTAAATTTATAAGTTTATTGCTATAAATCTACACCTTAGTATTTATTTGTCTATGTCCAGTGATTCTGATAGCTTGTGTATTCTCATTCATTTTGACAATTATTTTTCTTTTTTAAGCTCTTCTTTGCCAATGGGTTTTTTTAAATGGCATGTTGTTTAGTTGACAACTCTTTTAACTTTTCACTAGATTTTAATGATCAATTTTGACATTCACAGTAATAGGAAAAACTACTTGATATAATTCAAGTTTCCTCCTGACTTTATGGACATTTGTATTTTGTCCTATAATGTGGTCTGCTTTGGGGAACATTCCATGTCCACTGAAGAATAGATATTGAACTTTTAAGTATGAAGAGGCATTTATATACTACTCTTAGTTCTCCTTGTTTCCAGTGATTAATCTCCTTAGGTTTACTAGTAGTTGTATTTAGAAGCCTGCTGCCACCTAGTTTTTACTATAGTAAGTTTTAATAGAGGAGATTATTATTGACAATTTATGGCATTGATATACAGTTATTCAGTATCAAAGTGCCCAAGTCCTGCATATATGTTAATTCTAGTTTTCCTATTTCCTCTTCTAAGTATTTTTTATATTGAAGCCATTATTTCAGATTAGAAGATTTCTTGACTTCAACTAAGAATTCTCTTTTCCTCTTTCCTGTCCATATAAAACCCCTATAATGCAAATGGTATCCCATAAATCTCACTTTCCAAATATCTTAATCTATTAGTCTATGTTAACTTTAGAGTAATAGGATACCAAAAATATTTCAGGAAATTAACATATCATTAAATATAACCATTAATAAAAAGTTCATTTGTAAACTTTTATCTACTTAATTACTATTTTAAATTATGGTATTTAGATGATTATTAAAATTTCATGACAAAATTAGTTATTATTATATTTTTCTTCATAAATATTTTGCAAGGGATAACAGACCTTGATGACCTACTAAATTCAGGAAGAATAGAAATTGTAGTTTTTATGATATTTGAGCCAGAGAGTGCATAAGGGTTAAAGTGCTTACCTTATATTCACTGGCTTGACCACCACAGGTGACCCAAAGACTAGAAACAGCCCAGGTACCCACAGATAACATTATTGAATAAAAAAGAAATGAATATGCACACAATGGAATGCTAATCAGCTGTCAAAAATCCTCCCGTTTGCAACATGACTTGAAGAATGCTAAACTTAGTGAAGTAGCAGATGAATCATGACAAACACAGTGTTATTTCAATTGTGCAGTACATAAAGGAACCAAATGAACCAATGAAATGAACTTTTAATACTTCAAATCAGTGCTGTCCAACGGGGAGAGCATTGGTAAAAGAGGATAATTGTATGGTGGAAGATAGAGTTAAACCTTGGAGGGAGCCATACTCTGGTCAAGATT